GATAAGTAACCGATAACAAAATCGATAACAATAGCGATAACGACATCGATGAATAGTCGATAACAAAATGGATAGAAATATCGATAACAAAATCTACAAACGTATCGAGTATTATATCAATAAGTTCCGAAAATATCGATAGCAAAATCGAAAAAATTTCGATTCCAAATCGGTAAATATATCGATTATTACATCGATAAGTTCCGAAAATATCGATAACAAAATCGATGAAAATATCGATAACAAAACCGAAAAAATTATTGATTATTATATCGATAAGTCCCGAGAATTCCTAAAATCTCTAAAAGTCCAAAACAGTTCCCAGATCGAGTCTCAGTGTCTCTATCTAGGTATATATGCATATCTTTTTACCTGTAATTACCTTTATTTTAATCTTTCTTCTTCTATTTTCAACTTTATTTTCATCGGTATCCTCTTCCTCATCTTTTTTTTTTATATTTATCTTTGTTTTTACTTTTATGTTTATTATTTTCTTCATTTACATACATATTTCCTTTCACCTTTGCCCTTACATAAGTGTTAAAATTTACCATGGTCTTCATTTTTGCCTTTATCTTTACGCATGTTTGTTTTTGTTTTTATTTTTACCTTTGCCTTTATCCTTTTCTTTATCTATGTACGTACTTACCTTTACTTTCATTCTTGTATTGGTCTTTTCCAAGTGTTATTCTTTAAGCTTTTATTAGAAAATTTTTGTCAAATTACACCTGTTTCAGCCCCAACCATTGCCGTTGCACTATTTTCGTTGCACCGTTTCCGTTGCACCACTTCCGTGTGCAATTTCCGTTGAATTTGCCAATTTACTCCCAACCAACCAACCGCCGCTAAAGAAGTTTCACTTCAAAATATTAGTCACGACTTTATCCATTTCAGTGACGATATATATCAACAAGTTTATCGAATCGTATATGTTGGAATTAGCTCGAATTGTAGTTATCAATCCGGAAACGGGTGTGCAATTATTATACTGGATCACCGAAGTCATACCATGTACATACATGCATATGCATGTCCTGCAGGAAATGAGTTAGATACATAAGTTAACTTGAAACTGATTAGGAAGGAACTAAAGGTCACTATTATCTGTATACTTTCTTTGGGGATGGCCGCGAACATCAGTACGAAAAGCAATATTTTAAAATTTAATTTTTTGACGTTTTTATTTACATAGGTACTCACTTTATTTAACATTACATACATATTTGTTTACATATTCTACTGAAGATGGTCCCATATTCGAACTCCGTCAGACATAACTTCAAAATGATAATATAAAACTGCGATCTTCCTTTTGTTTGTCCTCAATTCGAAAAAGTATTTGTGGAGTGCAGAAAAAAGTGTATTCAAAGTAAAAATTATATGACGATATTTTAATAGAAACTTTTTTAAGAAAACAGTCTCCCGAATACGTCTGCATAACTTTTCAACTAGTTTTAAGCTATTTTTTTCTGCAGGGTGCACTTACAAATGTACGTACATACATACATATTTTTGTACAAACAAGGTATCTTAACGCATATGCTGGTACAAAAGTAACGTGAGAACTTTGGCGACAATCCCACATTAAACTGCCCTGTGTGAAAGCTTGAAAAATAATGTATGAATTGTACTTGTAGAAATGTACACATTGTACATAAATAAACAAGGTGGCGCAAAATTAATAAGCCTTCTTCTTGATCGCTTCTTTCTTTGTGGTTACTTGAAGTCGCGGGATTATGCCAACTGGCTTCAGACAATCACAGCCCTTAAAGCGAATATTCGACAGGAAGGCGAACAGTTATCGCCGGAAATCTTGCGGAAAGTCATACAAAATGTGATAAACAGGCACAAATGTGTACCAACACTGGCGGCAGCCATTTGACGGATATCATCTTTCTACTTAACAGAAAAATTTGTAAAGGTCCAAAAAAAAATTCCATCACTCAAAATCTTTTTTTTTTTAATTTAATAAAAAATTATTCAAAACAGAATAGGATGATTATTTTGCGCCACCTTGTATATATTAACATGTAATATGTTTGTGCAGTGCTTGTTCGCATCCAGATGTCCATATATTAATGATCGCCTCCGATGGAATTTAATAGGGATAATGTTTTCATTCGGTTCTCTCAGTTTTATTTTAATAAAAAATGTTTGTGCTGATATATAAGTATGTATACACACATACATATGTACATTTTTGCTTTTATAATTTTGCTCGTATTTATACACACATTTTCGCTAATGCCATTTAAATTAATACATATGTACATATGTATGTCTGTATGTATATGCACATAGGTATGGATGTACATATGTATGTTGAATGTTTTGTTTAAAACGTACAAACATATGCACATTTATTTGTACATATGTATGGACATATCTCACACGATCTTCAAAAGTGACACAACTCAAAATTTGGCATTTTTGAAACTATGCACTAAAAATAAACGCAAAACTTTTATTTACCTTTCAGCAAAAGCTGGACCAAATTTTTGTTATAATTTGTTGAAAAGAACCAATTGGTAAAGTCGCCCTTGCCCATATGATTAGCATCTCCTAATAAGTAGTTTTTCGCATTTTCTGACGAACGTGTAATTTTGATTTGTGTCTCTTTTGAATATCGTGTGCGATATGTATGTCAGTAATTAATATTTACGCTAAATGACTTACTGTTTAATTCGGGCGCGCAGTTAGCGAGCTACACGCTCCCGCTTAAGATGTTTTACGCGGAAAGATCGGTCATCAGCGGATTGTCGACGCCCAAGGTCCCACTAAACAGCGCAAATGACGAGTTTCTCATACAAAATGCGCGTTATTTAAATTGGATATTAGTTTGACGAAGTGATCTTATTAACAAATGAAGAACAATTTTCTTCAAATAAATCGATCCTGTCAAGCGGCCGGTGCGAGTCGTCATTTAAGTCCCAGAGTACCACCATCTTTATTAGTCGCATCAACTGATATTAGCGCCCTCGAATACAAACATATGTGCATATGTACTATGTGCTGGTGTTTGCGCGTTTACTGGACCGTTCTGCATAATTTGTTCGCGCGTTTTGTGACAAACGTGGCCAATTCTGTTTACAACAACAATCTGTGTCGGTGTTGCTCGAGTTGCTCACAATCTGTGCGATGTCATTGTTGTGATCATTGTTTGATTCACAGAAACACCCAGCGTGCTTCGAGTGAGCTTAGTGAAAATGAGTGCGAAGAGAAGGAGCTTACGGCAAGAAGTGAGATAGAGGTGCACTCAAGAGCGACGACAACCTGTTCACCTCATCATTACGTCATAGTTGGTTAGTGCACCGGAAAACCAACAAAACTAATCATTAACCAAAAAACAGCGACTCTTCTTTAAAAAATGTTAAAATTTCAATCTCGGCGTGCGGAGATTTGAGATGCCTTCCATAAGCATTTTTAAATTCAAATTAAATCAATCAATAGTGAATTGCACTATGGCTAAAATATGCACTTTCTGCGGCCATAAATCTTAAACACAATCTTAAAAGACAGTGGTTTCAAAATCAGCGAAAGCGGCCCATTACCACACCCATCACCCATTTACCAAGTATCCTAGAGTACGCGTCCCCTTCTAAAATTGAGGAAAATATTTTTATTAAAAAATGGAAATATATTTTGTAGTCGGTGATGCTCTATCTTTTGGTAGTATTACCGACTATCGCTTTCAACCGGAAGTGGGTTAAACAGGCCGGAAGTGCATTATTTTAACTGGAACTCCATTACAAAGAAACGTTTCTGAAAAAAGTTACGTTTTTTTGATGACGTTTGAGCAGACAATTCATAGTCCAAATGAAAGTAGATATAATACCCTTTTATCAGATATACATATGTATATCGACGAAATCGACCAGAAAAAGTCGAACTCGACGAAACAAGCACAATACATATGTTTAAACTTTTATAATCACAACATGCACTTCGAAACAGTGAATTTTCAAAATACAAATGTTATTTAAAACCACAATTTTTACAGTCAATATGTGCTATACCATTGCTAAAATAATCGCACTTCAATATTTTTACAAAGGTAAAACAAAACCGCGATGCACTGAAATCCAGTATAATAAAATTCTAGCACAAATCAGGACCAGGGTTGCCTTGCGGCCATAAATTTATAATTCCTTTTCTAACAAGAGTATCTAGAATAAAGTCCGCCTAGTAAAAATGTAGAAAGCAGAAGTTGAAATCTGCACTTTTGGCCGCAGAAAGTGCTTATATCAGCCTTAGTGCATTGGTTAAATGCCTAATTTGTTGCTTCCAAAAAAACCGGTGCAAAAAAAATATTTTAGCTGCTTTCTAAGGCAGATTTTGGACTATAAAAATCATGTTCCTTTAGGGTAGCTGATAGGCTTATATTTTGCGCTTTTCTTTCATAGATGATATCGATGCGAATTACCTTGAGATTGAGCGTCGCAAAATCGAGACTGAATCATTTTATCGTCTTGTTGACCGCGCAACTGCTGAGGATATTTTGAATAGCAGAGAAGATGGCTCTTGTTTGGTACGCCCATTTAAAGAAATGGTATGTTCGGAGTAAAATAATTTTGGCTTCTAATCCAATGTTTTCTGTTCATTTCCACAAAGGATCCGTCGATTAAATACATCGTCACCATATATGCCCAGCAGCAATATTTCCATCTTTTCATCAGACAAATTAACGGTAAGGACCTCTACGGCATCGGCCAACAAAAGTCTAAAGAAAAGGTTTTTAGCTCCCCAAGTGATATTATCGATTTCTACAGTTATAATCCTTTACAATGTACAAACAAAAGTACCAGTATAAGTTTAGTATTAAAACCAATAATTACATGAAAAAGATGCGTAATTGTTATTTATAATTTAATAAATTTTATGTGCATAAGTAATCATTCACTTTTAGACATCTTCATGTTTGGTGTGGATATTAAAATTTTAATTTTTTATGTACAAATAAAAATAGACTTATACGATATTTCAAGCTGCTTTAATCCACATGCTACTATTCCGAAAGAGTTAGGCTAAGTGGCTACGACCGCTTTGAATACGCAGCGATTGTTCTGCATAAGAGCTGGCCAAAAGAAGGATTTGATAAGATCGGAGCGGCGATCAGACTGTGGGTGGCGTTCGTGTTTCTCTGGACGCAGAAAGCCTGAAATTGAAAAGCGGATTAAATATACATATGTAAATTTACATATATGTACATACATACACATCGTCACCTGAAATGCAAAAAGTCGTAACTTATAAAAAATTCAAAATTCAGTTTTTGATTGCTATGCAAGATTTCATCAAATTGCAACTCCCCACATCGTTTTATGAAAAAAAAATTACTCATGACTTTCAGTGACGATGTTGTTACGTTATTTTGCATTTCAGGTCACGATATATCGCTTAATCGTTTAATAACCCTGCCAACCAAAGTTCCCGAAATCTTAACGAAATCTTTAGGAGCATCTCGTTTCTGTATTTTTATGAATCTTTAAAGAAAATTGTATGAAGTGGTTGACAGGAACTCGTAAAGAAATTTTTGTACGAAACATAAAGAAAATAATGAAATAATTCTGCAAGAAATTATTCCAATAGCAGCATTATTTTCTTCCTAAATTTCGTAAAAGAATCGAAGTGTGCACAGTTTATTTAATTTTAGAAAATTCGGCAAAAAAAATGTCTCTACAATTCAGAATACTCTGAAAACACGGTTTGCAGGCATGATTCAATAATACAAGGTTGTGTAATTGTTGTCAGCTAAAATTTGACACTCCTTTATTGTATTTGATAGATTTGTATTTTGGAAGTAGGAGAAAGGGGAAGAGTGTGATCGCATTTTGCGAAAACGGTAGTAGAATGGTACTGTACCCAAAGTATACAATTAGAAGTAAAATGTGTATTATTAATTCTATGCGAATTTGCAATATATTTGGTGTTTTAATGGAAATACTAAACAATATATAAAAATATTCATTTTTGATTTAAGTTATTCGTCATTTCCGGGAACAAACCTAGAATGCCGACCGTTCAGCTATGCAAAGACGAAAAATGCGGATCAATAGAACTTTTTATGCTCATTTCAACCATGCCAAAATGATTTGGCGCAAGTAAAAAATGAAGAGGTTCTAGAAGGTTAAAGTTCAGTTTTTAGATACTTTAAATATTAATACCTTATGAACTTTATAACCGATTAAAAAGCTAATGACGTCACCATAAAGGTAATTAATTTTTTCTTCAGCTGATGTACATAATTTATAGCTTTTTGTATTTTTAAACCAAAACAACTAAAAAACGAACAAATATTATTTTTTCATGAAATAACCTTTTTTGAAAAAACTGCATAATTAATGGTAAAGAATTTTATATTATTTAGAAAGTACAAGTTATTATCTTTAATTCGATATTACATATTTTATCATGATCTACTTTTGGGTTTCAACAATTTAGTGATAATTAAAAATACAAATAAACCTCTTATATTTTCTTTTTTTTACCTGCGCCAAATAAATTTGGTATCGTTAGAATCAACGTAAAAAGTTCTATCAATTGGCATTTTTGGTTATTTTATAGCTAAACGGTCGCTATTCTACACTTGTTTTAGAAAATTACGCAAACGAAGGTGACGCCAACGAATATTTAGTATGAAGAATTTTTGGTTTTACTACTAATATCACTAGAAACTATAGAGTAAGCAACATTCTGCACAAGTAAAGGAGCCGATTTTATGTGTGGGAGCGAGAAGACTGTTCTATTTTAAAACCTTTCTGTTATTGAATCATGGTTTGCAGGTTTACGGGAAAACGCAATCAAAGTTTGATCAATTCATACAGTTGGTACATTTATAAAAAGAAGTTTAGTTTAGTTGGAAAGTTTAATCATCTGTTAGGCTGAACATATTCTCCTCATCAAGCTAATTAATTGTTTTATAAAATCTCCTAAATCGTAAATTTTGATTTACATCTCTTTAATATTAAATATGCGATGTATGTTTGTGCGAAGAAAAATAATTAGTTATATTTTGACTAATTTACCAAGAGTGAAATCGCCGTCAAGATAATATGGTGACTTCTGATTAATCATGCGCCAAGCTAGACGAACGCAAGCGCTGACAAAGTGTGTGAGGGCTATGCACGATTCCAGGCATGGATATTCATGTAGTGTGGAAAGTACCTGCGAAAGAAATGTAGCAAATTACTTAAAACACGAGTTTAATTAGCTGCATAAATGTTAAAAATTTGGTACTCAATAAGGCTAACATATTGTGGTATAGGATCATACAATTACATGCAAATATAAGCAGATGATTATGCAATTCACAATAAAATCACATTTTATAAAGTTGTTCGTTGCGTCTTCAAAAAAAAAAAAAAAGGTTTGCAATTATTATTGGTTTTGGTTCATTTCCTTAGTATAACAACTGATAAGATGTTTCAGGGCATACATACATACATGGTTTGCGATCAATCGTAATTTACATAAAGGGATGAGTGAGAAACTAAGCCTTAACCCTTAATTAGGCGCATGGGATCAAGGCCATTGCAAGTTGAAAAAAAAAAATTGTCTTGGAGTGCTTGGAGCATGCTCGCGCCCTTTCTAGGTTCCGAACTCGCCGTGGGGTATGTAAATAAGTCACTGCCGGAACATCGGCGTGTATGCATGTGTCGCTACTCTTTTAAGTCCTGACCCCATGCGAACACTCACGTAACATTTTTTGGGAGAGGTAAATTTCTAATTTTTTTAAGTTAAAGATAATAGAGTACTTGAATATTTTTGATAATACGCGCTTCGTTTTTTTATTTTGAAAACTCCTTTTTTCAAAACTTTTATTGGGGTCACCATGCGACTAATTGTGTGATTTTCTTTATGCGCGTAATAAGGGGTTAATGTAAGATAATAAATGTATAAAGCTTACTCACTTGATTGAAAACCGAGCGTTCAATTTCGCCCAGAGGAAAAGATTCCACAGTTTCGTGCAAATAGGCTCGCACTGATCGATCTAAGGTGAGTGTGATCTCGTTTGATGCATCAACGGAGCAATTTAGAGTTCGACGAACCTCCACCACTTTCCTTTCGCGCATGCCATGACACAGGCGAAATGATAACTGAAAGCATATTGGTAAGAGATATGCATTTAAATGGGAAATACTTATAACGAAGTACTAAATATAATAATGGTATAGTGTAAATGCCAATAGTTATCGCTCTAATTAAAATCATAATATTGGGTACATTATCACTGTCTAGATTACTTGACTGCTTACACTTGACGGCAAATGAAATCAAATGCGTTGATGCAATTTTTTTTTTTTTGTTTCATGGCCAACTTTAGCAAGAAAATAAGTGCATGCCTTGGGGGCATTTGTGATCACTTTCTAGTGCACCAATCAGCAAACGTTTTTTTTGTAAACCTCGTAATTGAATGTCTTTGTTCCTTAGCACGTTTCGGTCAGCGCATGCCTGTGCGCTTCTCTCTACTCCATTACCGTGCAAAAACAGAGTAACTGATTGTTATATTTGGTTGTCTTTTCGATAGACAGTGTAATAAATTTAAAGTGTTTAATGCAAGTCGGCTGAATAAGTGTGTGTGTAATCGAATGAAAATATTACTTGCATATACATACATACATCCGTACGTACTTATATAAAAGTATGAAAAAACAGTGTCGACATACCACAATTATTGAGAAAAGTATTTTCGCTTTCAGATTGTGAATGTGCTTTAGCTGCGGCAGACCATCCAATGCTTCCAATGTATCCGCTCTATTCTCCATATACAGGGTGCGATACTGAGTAACCATTTCGCTGTTGGGGTAGGTCGAGAAGAATGTTTTTTAGTTTGGCATATATGTACATAAAAAAGATTTCGAAATTGTATACATAAGTATGTATGTATTTAATATGTATTTTTTAAGGTAAACCCAATCAATGAAATAAGCCTGCAAACCAAAGTTCCCGAAATCTTAACAAAATCTTTAGGAGTATCTCGTTTCTGTGGCGATTGTTTTACGAATCTTCAAAGAAAGTAATATGAACTCGTAAAGAAATTTCTGTACGAGAAAAAAACTCTGATACAATTCTGTAATAAAATCTTTACATAGCAGCATTACTTTCATTGCTTTACCGATTGTCTTCCGAAATTTCGTAAAAGAATAGTTTATTTTATTTTAGAAAATTCGGCAAAAAAATCCGATGAGAGCTTTACGAATTCCTTAAAATTTCTCTACAATTTAGAATGCTCTGAAAATATGGTTTGCAGGGAATATACCATTTAATACTACTTGACTTATTTCAAAGTTGTTTGAATTTCTGCCCTTGGTAACTAGACGCAAAATCGGAAGATTCTCTCTAACCTTCTCTCAAGCTTAACGATTAAACTTTCCCAAAAACATTTAAAACTTGCTTACGGCTTGAGGGGATTTTTTTTTTTATATATATATGGCTCTTTCTTTGCAGATCCAACATTTAAGAAACCCTAATTTATTTAAAACGAATGCGAAATATTTCATAACTTATTTCTACATAAATGCTTACATATTTACCTGGTGTCATCGTTGGCAGAATCATCCGAATGGTAGCCATCGCTGCAGTGGCTGCTGGCACTTTCCGCATCCACCGGACTTGTGGGCACACCTTCGGGACCCATCAGTTGCAAAACAGCTTCGCAACCTCGCCCGAAATTCATTAACAACCCCGCTGCCGGTCTTTTCTCTATACATGCTTGTCCATCCAAACGTTTCACCTGACCCACACACTTCAAGACTTCTTTGTCGTTTTCCACTCGCTGACTGAGGTTCTCCACAAGAGAGGCTAACTGCTTCAACGCGGGCTTGTCCACCATAGTGAGCAATGTTTTGTTCTCGATGAGTCTTTGTTGTATGTCACCATAGTTGATGGCTAGTAGGCGCTGATGCGAGGAGTGTGCAGGATCTTGCACCGCTGTTATCATGCTAAGCTCTTCCAGCTTGTGTATGGCCATTTTGTAGGTGTCAACGTGTCTTTGTAGCTCAGTTTTAAGCGCGACATGCAGCGATATCAACTGTCCTGCGGAGTTGGTTGTTAAGCCGTGCACACCTAAACCTTGAACTGCATTATCAAAGGACTTCCGCCGCTCCCGTAGGGTTTGTCGCAAATTTGGTTCATACTGCGCTATCGCTTGGATGAGCTTCCCGCAACGTTGCCTCACACCCGATTCGTGAGGATGTGAGAAAAGACGTACCAGTTGCCAAGCAACCGATTCTATTGGCACATCAGGCTTTGGTGAGGGATTGATGGTGATTAACCTACGATAAGAATTTCGGTTTAAATATTTTAGTGATTAGGATCAGATTGGTACAGATCTTACCTTGTAAAGAATGACTCTAGTAAATATGCACTGTGTGGTAGGTGCTCCAGAAGCAAGTCGATTGGCAATTCTGCTATTACCGAACGCAGGACAGATGGTCCAAGTCTACCTACAACTCCTGCTGCCTCCCTGTACTGCCGTCCTTCGGAGAGTAACATCAAACGACGCAGCACTTGTCTGGGACTTGTCAGGAATTCACGTCCGTCACGGGGTGGCCCACGTATCCGTTCTCGACTATCGGCCATTGCTGACTCCAGCGATTCTTGGTGGTTCTTGAGCAAAATTTGTTTTCTACGATGTTTTTACAGATTGTTGTATTTTTTCGATTGTGCCATAGGCTTTTTATGAATGATGAACGGATGATAGAACTTAAATTAAAGAAAATGATGATCCAAAGTCAGGTTAAGTCTTAATTAGCAATTAATGAGTATAAAAATCACGAATTGCGTAAATGTTATGAAATTATATCTTAATATATAAAAATGCCCAGTCACTGTGTTCGTTTACGCTAACCACCGAAATTGCCCATATCCGAGCGAGACTTTTCTAATGTTATTCGCTGCTACGCTTCATAACTAAATATGTTTATGTTGGGGAGAAATAGGTAGTATAGCAAAAAAATAACTGTATTTATACATATAAACATGTGCACATCAACAGCAACAAAAATTTGACCATTTGGACACCATTCAATGTTATCCATTCTCCTGGCTGGCACCGTAACAAGAGATCGTTTTTTTTTTAAAGGAAGTGAAAAATAATGAGACGAATTCTTGTGTTCGTACGAATCGAAAATTAAAAATTTTTTTCACTAATCGCCTCAATAACAATTTTTTTGTAAATTTCGATATCAAATGAAACGTAAAAAACAATTACGAATTTATCATAAGGTTCATCTTAAGAATAGCGATGAGAGTATTTCTTAAGGAGATGTAACACTTGGATAACGGAATATAATTAAAGTCCACCCGATATATGAAAAACATGTTTGAAAGATTTTTACTTAAAGTACTTAACTTGGGTTTCGATAATTGTTCACTAATTCCTCTTTATGCTTACTTTAAACTTGTTTTCTTCTCCTATGATTTTTGAAGTGAAACTTTTTTTGGGTTCGGATGGGAGTACATAAAGGCCTGGCACAAAAATAAGGTAGTTTCATTTAATGACATTCATTGTTGTTGCTAACCATTTGACTTTTAATAAAATTATGACATTTCATTAAATTCATGCTACCTGAAGCAGAAGATTTCAGTAGTCCACTCAAAGCTGTCGAATATGATGAACCTGAAAATTAATGCATGATCTCGAAAATGGCGTTGACGAGACTAGGTTTCAGAATGGATGAAGAAAGTGATCAAAATTATATTTATGCTAATTGTTTATCGGAGGGCTGTCTGCGCAAGCCGAATTCAAGTTTTTTTGCAAACATTGGAAATTTTAAATTCGAAATTTGTTGAAGTTAATGGTGATATGCTAACCACAAAGCCAAATTCTTTGGGAAATCTGATGAGAAATTTAAAAGTAAATTTTAACGAATTTCATCACGAATCACGAATTTAATGTGAACAAAAATTATAAGGCAAAATAAAAATTATTTTTTCCAATTTGTTTTTGTTTTGGATGTTAAGTTATGCGAATTATTTATTTACATGGGAGTGGCGATTATAAAAAGATTTTATTTTGAAAAAGCATCTTTAAAATTATATTTTTAAATCGCAAGATTGCATTCAAAATAAGAAAATGAAAAAATAACAACATAATGCTCCCGCGATTTTTGTTATAAAATAAAAAGAACAATTTCGATGAAGTCTCCTTTAACATTATACATTTTATATATTTTTAATAAAAAAGGTGCGAACCACGTAAGTAAAAAAAATTACCAAGCACTGATAATGATTTTTGATTTGAAATATTATTAAATTGGTATAAATGTGGGAAAGAAAATACTCCGATTTATTGTTTGAATATTATCAAAGTGGCAAGGCCGTTGAGAATACTATCAATTTATGAAACTTCAAAAAATTTTATTTTCCGTCAAAAGTTGTTTATTGAAACCATGATAAAAATATGGTGACAGGTAATAAGGTCAATGGAAATAAGGTCAATTGACTTTATTTCCCACCCTGGTGCGAAATGAAGTCAATTGACATTATTACCTTTTCAAAAGCGAAATAAAGTCAACAAAAATTTGGAAATAAAGTCATTGACGCTAATTCCTCATTCAAATGGAAATAGCGTCAACAATGCTTAAAGTATGTCG